TCTGGTGAAAATTTCATGTCATTAGCACCTCTAGTAATATATTTACTGAGAAAAATGGTGACGTGTTCAATACTTATTTTACCCGCTGTATGTTGGCTTCTTTGGCCTGATTTCTAATCACGACTCAGCAGATTTATCTTCATTCACTGCTGACTCGGCTCAGCTGGATGGACCAGACTAACACTGTTGAGTTGGTCTGATCTGTGCAGACATGTCAGCCAGGGTTGCTGTGGTAACTGGAGGTAACAAAGGCATCGGGCTCGCCATCGTCCGAGCGCTCTGCAAGCAGTACCAGGGAGACGTTTACCTCACGGCCAGAGATGAGTATGTATTTCACCTGCTGACCCCTGAACCACCATCAAATATGTTTCCTAAACCTGCTGTGATATGCAGAAACTCAAATATTTCTATTTTGGTGTGTGTTTTCTATTTTTAATGTTTAAATTGAAATGCATCATCTAACGTGACAAAAAAAACGTCAGTATTCATAAATAATTCAAAGATGTGGTCAGGTGTTTGAACACGCAGCTTGTTATCAAATGTTCACCACCAGCCACACAACTCTGAAGAATTCTGAGAAAAATGTGTTTTTATTTGCACTTTATGCTCCATCCTCTTTATAACCTGTTGGACCGGCTCTGGGGGAAATAATTGTACCAACGCACAACTCTTGTGTCAACTAATGAAAACTATCACCACGTTTGTTTCTTTAGTGAAACTCCTTGCTTGGAGAAAGCAGCAAATAAAACATGTTATTAGAGCTTAAAGTGGTAAATAAGTGTGAATTCAGTTTGTTGATTATTAAATAGACCTGCTGAAAAGCCTGGACTGAGTTGTCAAGGTTAAAAAAAATAAACAAAGCAGAGGCTAGAACAAGCAGAACAGAAGCTAAAGTTAGCAGAGCATTAGCTGAAATGAAAAGCTAAAACTAAAAGCAGTAGACCAGTTGATATAAGCTTAGAAGAGATTAATACAAGGGCGTAACTTTGTGCTGAATGTTGGTGGGGGCGGGGTCTGACGCACACACAGTTGTGCGACCAGGTTTTTCTTTTGTTCATGTCTTCAGTGTGTGCTCAGTTTAACTGTCTGCACTCGTCAACAACTGAACACCAAATGTTTCTGTTGTGATGCAATAATACTCAAACCATATTAACTGAGATTATGTTTCACCATCATTAAACCATGTACTGTAGCAGCCTTTAAACTCACTAAGAATACAGTTTGACAATCAGCCAAAGATTCATACAGACACACACAGGTGTAGCACAGGTGTGTTGGTTTATTCTCTCACATAAGTCTTATAATGTGTGTAAAGGACACACTGGAGGGGGGTCTGGGGGTCCTCCCTCAGAAAATTTTGAATAAGTTGGAAGCTATTTCCTGATTTCTAATGTATTAACAGGTTGTTAAAGGTACTTTCACCTACATAAATAAACACCTGATTTAATGACTGGAGACAGATTCTTCATTAAACTAGTTACATTGTCCTGTTTTTAAATTCAGTTATAACTCAGATAATTAAATTAATGTGATAATTTATCCCAAACAAGCTTAGAGGAGGTTTTTACATTTATTTATAAGATCGATATGTGGATGTTTGGAACTGATTAGAAAGGAAGTGTATTGCTATCACGCAGGAAAAAAAAATCTGAGCACTATCACGTTATAACGTGATA